AACCCTGGGAGAGATTCCTTCATTCCGGAGAGCTGACGCCCATTTCACCTTTGCCATTTGAGGTCTCCAAATCTGGAACGTCTGAAGTGAAATTCAAGAAGCTGCACTCACAGGGCTCTGAAAAACGACGTGGTGGTGTCCAACAAATGGCCCCTTACCTACGGGGTCATCCAAGCAAATCATTCCCACTACGGTGCTTGATGAGTCATGCCTGTTTTGGGGCAGTTTTCTGGATTTTAAGACACATTGGCAGTTCAAGATGCATTATTCCTGGCTCTGGAGGCGTGTCTTGGCTGAATGCTGCAAAAAATATGAGCCTAAATGGGTTTAGAAAGGGCCAAGACTGAATTATTTCCTGCTTTAGGGATTTATCTGCGTATCGTCAAATGGGGACCAAAGGTTTTATGTTAGGTGATAAAACCAAGGTGAAAATGCAAAACTGTTGCTGGAAAAAGACAGATCTAATAATAAGAATGATCTGCTGATGAGGACAGATAGAAAAAGGCTGATGAGTCAAAATGGGGGCAGAACACAAAAGGACGCCAAAAATTTGTAAACATCACCGTCAACCACTGCTCACTGGAATGGGTGCTGAGCAATGGGGAGGGGTCACAGCCCCCAAACAGCAGCGTGGGAGGGATGGGAAGGGAAGGGGAAGGGAGGAGGACTCAGTGCTTCCCCGTTTGCCTTCCTGGGTCAGATCCTGCTCAGGCATCACAAAGCTGGGCTGGCTGTGGGATGCAGGACAGCTGCAGGTGATGAGCACAGGCTGCACGCCCCGCTCTTCCCTGTCCTGGCACAACAGGGATAATAAAAATATTAAATATGAAAGGCTGAATAATAGAAAATGTTAAAGAAGTTGCCCTGCCAGCACCTCGCGCCCCTGTTGCGGCAGAGAAAAGCCTTCCCTGTCCGCCTCCAAAGCCTATTCCCTCATTCAGCGTGCCCCTCTATGGGCGCCGCCATCTTGACCCCCTTGCCGTACAACGCAGCGGCTACTTCCGCTTCCGCCGGAAGTCACCGCCCTCTTTCTCTCTCCGCGCTGGCGGCCATCGCAGGCGGTAGGAGCGGATCGGGCCGAGCCCTCGATTGAATCCGCTGCCATCCTCCCGTCCCGCCGCCGCCATGACGGAGCAGATGACCCTCCGCGGTACCCTGAAGGGCCACAATGGGTGGGTGACGCAAATCGCCACCACCCCGCAGTTCCCGGACATGATTCTCTCCGCGTCGCGGGGTGAGGGCCGCGCCTGAAGGGTTCGGGCCTGGTCCGAATGGGGGGGGACGGAATATGGGGGTGAGAGGAGGGACTGGGAGGCCTATGGGGGATGACAATGAAAGTGGATAAGGGGAGACAGCAGTGCTTGAGGAGGGGGCTATGGGGGAACCATGGCGGGGGGAGATGGAGGGTGCAGGGCTTGGGGACGGAGCTGTAGGGCGGGGAGGGAATTGTGGGGCCTACGGGGGAGCTGAAGGGGAATAAGGGGAGACCATCAGTGGTAGAAGAGGGGGCTGGGGGGGAATCATGGGTGCGAGAAAGGGGGGAGATGGGGTGTGCAGGGCTTGGGGACAGGGAGCTGCAGGGTGGGGAGGCTGCTGTGTTTGAGGACATAGGGAGGGGTTGGAGGGTTGAGAGGAAAGGGTGCTCTGTGTTACCTTCACATTGCTATGGGGGAAATAAAACCCTGTGAGGACAGGAATATGAGAAGGGATGGAGCTGATGGTGCTGCCTTTCCCCCCTTCCAGACAAAACCATCATCATGTGGAAGCTGACCCGTGATGAGACCAACTACGGGATCCCGCAGCGCGCCCTGCGCGGCCACTCACACTTTGTCAGCGATGTGGTCATCTCCTCCGATGGGCAGTTTGCACTGTCGGGTTCGTGGGATGGCACCTTGAGGCTGTGGGACCTCACCACGTGAGTCCTGGGGACAAAAAGGGCTTCGGGGTGGAGGGGTTTGGGGGCAGAGCTGGGCTCTGTGCTTTGTTTGGGGGTTGAGGTGGGTGAAAGGTGTGCGATGCAGCGTGAAAATGAGGTGAGTTCCTCTTAGGTTGGGTGATAAATCCTGCTGGGAGGGAGGACCGAAGCGATTCCTCCCTCAGCTCCCTCTCCCAGTGATTACACCTGACACAGTGTGCTGATCCTCCGGGGTCTGAGGACACGTCCTGCAATTATGATGGGAGAGAAGCAGGTGGAGCAGCACGGGGGGTTTGGTTCTTCCTTCGCCATCACTGTGGGGTACAGACAGGAGCAAGCAGGCTTTTCTTTCAGTGTGATTTTGGGATGCAGAGTTTGGAGTGAGGTTGGAGCAGCTCCAGCTCTTCTTTCACTGCGATTTTTACTGTGCTGGAGGAGAAGAAACTCAGGAAGCAGAACTACCTCAACCCTCCAAAAGCATTCAGCATTTACACTGCTGTGTCCATAGAAGCTGAGTTTTATATCCTAAACTCCTCACGGTTATTCCAATCCCATATCAAAAGCTTTGGCACCCTTAGCATTCCTGTTTGGAAGGAGAAAAGGAGCCAGCACTCTTCAACCCACATGGAAAGCGCAGATTGCCCCGTTTTATCTTGCTTTTCATTCAGAATTCAGGCAGTGCAGCAGGATCTCCTCAATGGACAGGAGGCTTAATTAATTTAATTGTGCTTCGCTGAGCTTTGTCCCTCCTGTGTGACCCCCTTGGTGTCCCTGCAGAGGAACCACCACGCGCCGCTTTGTTGGCCACACCAAGGATGTGCTGAGCGTCGCCTTCTCCTCCGACAACCGCCAGATCGTTTCGGGCTCCAGGGACAAAACCATCAAACTCTGGAACACTTTGGGTGTCTGCAAATACACGGTGCAGGTGAGGCAGCAGGTCTGAGTTCTCACGCTGTGAAAACAAACCCCTTTCTGCTCGTTTCTGAGGCCGTGTTCCCACGTTTCTCTCCTTGCTGTGTTGGTTTCGATCCATAATCCACAGCTACCAGCTCCGGCCTAATGATTAGAAGTGACATGGTGACCTGCTGACCTTTCTTTTTGGGGGGTTTGAGGACACGTCCTGCAATTATGAGGGGCTCGTGGAGCGGTGGGATGCAGCAGCTCGGGCTGGGGATGCTTTTCGTTGCTCTCAACCCAGCGCTGTTCCTCTCCTCAGGATGAGAGCCACTCCGAATGGGTTTCCTGCGTGCGCTTCTCCCCCAACAGCAGCAACCCCATCATTGTCTCCTGTGGCTGGGACAAGTTGGTGAAGGTGAGAGGAGCGGCTCCTTTGGGGTCTGTGCGACGTCCTGGGGAGGATTTGAGCAGTGATCAGGAGAGGGTTGGTTGTTTTCTCTTCCGTATTTCTGACCCTGCCACCTTTGTACCCTCGTCAAGGTTTGGAACTTGGCTAACTGCAAACTGAAGACAAACCACATTGGCCACACAGGATATCTGAACACGGTGACCGTCTCCCCTGATGGCTCCCTGTGTGCTTCTGGAGGCAAGGTACACCCTGGGGGGAGACTGAGGCTGAACTGCAGCCTATTCTGGTGTCCTTACAGCTCAGTGCTGTGCCTCTTATTATCCCGTGACAACTCACCCACATCTCACTCACAAACCGAGAGCTGTTTCCGTGCCGGAAGGTTTTAGAGGGACAACTGGAACAAAGCCACGGGTTTGATGGTTTGCTGTGATTCCTCTTTGCTGCCCCCCAGGACGGCCAGGCCATGCTGTGGGACCTGAACGAAGGCAAGCATCTGTACACTCTGGATGGAGGGGACATCATCAACGCGCTGTGCTTCAGCCCCAACCGCTACTGGCTCTGTGCTGCCACCGGCCCCAGCATCAAGATCTGGGTATGGGACGGCCCTCTTTCCCCCCATAGAACCACTTTTCGTATCCTGTGGGTTTGGGGGCAGCTTTGCAGTCGAAATCCTCGCCCTGCCCCACTGATCTCATGGTGCAGAGCCCTTCTGGTCACGTGGGATGGGTCGCCTTGGGGGCACTGTCCTCATCCCCCGCATCTGGAGGGTGGTGTGGGGCATTTGTGGGGCACAGCCACTGCTGTGCTGTGATGAAACTTCGATGCCATCTGACTGCATCCCTGTGGGGAAACCCAGAGGCTGTTTCTGAGCACCCCACTGCCTGTTGTGAGTTGGAAGGGTTGGGTTTGGCTACAACAGGAACTTCAATCCCTCATGCTCTTTTCTGTCCTGCACAGGACCTGGAAGGTAAAATCATCGTGGATGAGCTGAAGCAGGAGGTGATCAGCACCAGCAGCAAAGCTGAGCCACCCCAGTGCACCTCTCTGGCGTGGTCTGCGGATGGGCAGGTAGAAGCATCCCCTCCTCCTCGCAGCCTTAAAACTCCCCGCTCCTTCCAGCACCTCTGCCTTGGGGAGCTGCCTCCTGAGGTCTTTACCTTCGTACCCTGAAGGCTGATTTCTGTCTCTTCCTGATCCAATTCCTCCATTTCTCTCCTCAGACGCTGTTTGCTGGTTACACAGATAACCTTGTCCGGGTGTGGCAAGTCACCATTGGAACCAGATGAGGACGTGGCAACAGCACACAGATTTTATGCACAAAACTCAATAAAAGAGCGCTCTGTTGAGCTCACGGCTGCCTCATGTCCCGTTCTGGACTTGGCACCAAGGCTGTGCCCACAGCTGTAAGGATGGGGACATCGGTGCTCTCCTCTCACATTTGGAAGAAGGGACTCAAACGTCTCCCTGAGCCCTTTGTGGAGCAGTAGCAGCCCACAGTGAGTGCAGACCTGGGGAAATAGAGCCATGGACAAAAAGAAACCACCACCAATAGAGCCACTAAAGATGCTGTGAGAGCAGAAGAAGTGGTAGCACAGAGCTTGGTTCACCCAGCAGCCTCCATGCCTTCACAAGGTGCTGAAGGGAAACAGCCCAAGCCCAATTACAACTCATTAACTTAAATGATGCAAGGCTTAAGTCACATCTTACCAGCAGGAGTTAACAGGTGGGGCTGCACCAACTCCTGTCCCCTGCGGGCTCTCAATAAGCAAGAGGCTCAGCTTTAAAACTTTATTCTTTATTATTATTATTATTATTATTTCTTGACATTTCAAAAAACTAGATCTCCATTTAATTCTTATTTTAGCCAAAAATATTTTGAACTAGCTCTGTAACGCCAACAGGAAAAAAAAAATACCAATCCACCAACAAAAAGAAGTAAAACACAACAGGGTGCGATCAGAGTCTCTCTGGTGGGACAGGATTCAGCTGAAAATTCAACAGCAGCTGAGAAAAGGGAAGAGAAAATAAATATCCCCACCTCAGAGAGCTCTTAAGCTGCGAGGGGAAACGAAGCTGCTTCCCACCGCTGCGGCGCTGCGCTCTGAGCGGCCTCAGAGGTGGAAGCTGCCCGAGTTTTTGCACCCTCCCCGGCCTACGTGGCCCTAAATAAAGTGCCAGGCCCACAAGAAATGGTTGGCGAGGGAACGACGGGGCGGAGGGAGAGCTGGAGACCCCCAGAGAGGGGAAGAGGAGCAAAAAGGGGAAGGTGGGCAAAGCGGCAGAACAAGGAGGACGTGGAAGGTTTGAGGTCCGGAGGGCGGCTGGGTGGGAGGGGGGCAGAAGGTGGTGCCCCAGAACTGGGAAATAAAAAGAAACGAGGCTCCTTGGTGCGCCTGAGTGAAAAGCTGATGACGGGTGTCAGAATGTACAGAGCCAGCTCCTCAGCTCGAGCTCTGCAACCAAAGAGCAAACAACGCAAAGCTCGACTGCAGGCTTTAAACAGAACAGGGAACGGCACGCTGGAAAGCTGCTGCAGAGGGCTGGGAAAGGCAGAGGGCAGCCCGTAGCACCAAGAGCTGAAGGGAAAACCTCCAGCGAGGAGATTGGATCCCTTTTCCAAACCAAACCAGCCTGGGATCGCGACCCCGGAGAAGAGCTGGGACGAGGACAGAGGCTGGGACGGGAGAGAGGAGGGAAGAGGCCTTGTGAGCAAGCAGGTGCGAGACAACAAGTGCAGCGTCGGGTCCCAAAGCGGGACCCAAAGGATGAGGCGGGAGGGGGAAGGGGAAAAATCAGAAGCTAGAGGGCCATCAGGTGCAGATTTTGATACGAGTGCCCTTAGCCAGGATTCGGAAAAAGGGGAAGATGCGCTCGTGGAAGGAAGCGTTGAAGGTGTGGATGTGGGTCATGCTCTCAGCGTTGTAGAAGCAAAGCTGACCCCGTTCATAGTCCAGGTAGACGCCGAAGCGCCGCGGCCGCTCGCTGGGTGACAAAGCCATCTGCTCCGTGGCCGTCAGCGCTTGGTACTTCTTCCCGTTGGTGCCAACACACCAGATCTCCCTTTTTTGATGAGGCCCCATGGTTTTTTCTTTACGTCGAGCTGTCTCGCGTGCAGCCCCCACCGCCCAACCTTTCCTGCCCCCGACTTCTACCTCCCAGTAGTGGCGGCCTGTGGTGAAACCCTGGGATCCCAGGACGCAGTAATCAGAGTCGAAGCGTTTGGGGTTGTCGGGGAGCTCCTGGCGCCGCTCTGCCAGCTTCACGCTGCGGCGGTCCAGGGAGAGGCTGAGGCGAGGGTGAGCAGTGTCAGGGTCCAGCGTGATGTCGGCTGCAAGGAAGGCAGAGTGGGGTTGGGTTGGGGGTCACCCGGCACTGTTTTTCCCCCCTTGTATCCCAGCCCTAAATCCTCATCTGGGCTCATATCTGCGCCGTGCTGAGCTTGAGGCGCCCATCCCTCGTTTACAGTGAATCCAGATCCCAGTTCTATGCAGCAGCTACAATAAAGGAAAACCCAGGACAAGGCAAAAGGGAAAAAGCACGGGGAGAACAGAGGGATGCTGCTTTTCCTAAAGGACCGTAGGGCTGCACAGCTTGGAAGCACAGAGCTGGAAGGGGAACCCCGACAGAGCTGGAAGGGAAATCCCATCCCAAGTGAAAGGATCCAAGGAGGAACCCCATCCCAAGTAGGTGGATCTGTGGAAGGAAGAGGACTTTCTCACCCTGGGGGACTTTGCTGAAGGCTTTCTCCATCTTTCTCATCACCACGTCCTGCAGGAAATAGTTGCGGTATTTCTTCCCCACATCCACCAGCACCATCTCGGGCTCCTGGAATTTGATGTTCTCGCATCTTTTTTTTTTTGGAGGGGAGAAGGAAAGCAGAGAATTTCAGCAGCAGAAAGGAAGAGAGGAGGCCCTGCATGCAACCTATATGTGCTCTGGAAAAACCAGAGCAGGGCACGGATCGGCCAAACTGGTTGCACTGGTGCAGCCAGCCTCCCCCACCCAGCAGACAGAGCCACGTGCATCCATCGTGGCTGAGAACTCCCAGTGTGGCTGAGAACTCCCAGCACTGCCAAGATGTGGAGAATCCTTTCTCCAGACCGAGGAGTTTTGCTATGGCATGAGCTCTGCATGGGCACAGCCACGCTTCCTAAAATCAGGGCCAAGATCTCCTCCCCATCCTTCTCCTCTCCCAGACGGCCCCAGTTTTTCTCCAGATCCCATTTACACCCCATCAGGCAGAAGTTTCCAATCACCCAATAGTTAGGACACAGCTTTCCCCAGCATTACCAGGCCCCAACTGTGCTGGTCACACAGGATTTAAAACAAAAAGCTCAAATGCTTTTTTTGACATTAAAATAAAAAGTTATTTACACTGAAAAGATGCAAACAAAGTCACTGACCTGATAAAAGTGCCTTTGATGTCCTGTGGGAAGGAGGCAGCAAGGTGGGAAAGAGAAGGAAAGGATTAGGGAGGACTGATGCCAATCCCACCGTTGCTCCCAATAAATCCTCTTAGACACAACTCAGCACTGAGCCAGGATGATTCCCTTCCCCACAGGGAACAAAGCACTAAAGGCACAGCCCACACACTGCTGGAGGCTTTCCTCACTAAAGCAGGCCCTAAATCTCTCTCATCCCCTCCTCTTGCCATCTTCCCTCAAAAACCACCACAAGGAGGGGTGGGGAAACACCCAGCCCACCAACTAAAGGCGCTCTCTGTGACACAAGCTCTCTGGAGCATTATTCCCATCATCGTGCTATCGCCTTGCCATAAAGACAAGGAAAGGGATGGAAGAAGACCTTGAGCAGCTGCAGCCCATCCTGTTTGCTCTTATCTTCTGCCTCTGCGATAAGGCGGCTGAGGGCTGCACTCTGCTCCTCCAGCTGACTGATGTTGCTGCTCTGCCGGGCCAGCAAGCTCTCATAGCGCTCCTCCAGCTGGTGCAGCAGCAGCACGTGCTCCCCGATGAGGAACTGGTGGAGCAGCTCGAAATCGGACTCGAATTCTTTGATTTCCAACTTCATCTTTTCCTGCAGAGGGAGGAAAAAGCATTCTGGGAATGGCTGCAAGAGGGGGGCGCTGAGAAATCAGCTCCTCTGTGGGGTGCTGTGCTTCCCTCAGTTTCATCACGCACCACAAGGTGCATCTCCCCAATGCACCACGGCCAGAACCGAGCAAAGTCTGCATGGGTTTAGAAATGTAAAGCGTCCTCAACTCAGACGAGGGATACCGGCTCCCAAACCACCAATTCCCACCCAACACAGAGGCACACAGCTCTCTCGTTAAGCTCTAATTCAACTGGGAAACCGTTTCCAAGCCCTCGCAGCCCAGTAATTGCAGGAAAGGGAATACGAAGCCTCTGAGAGCTCAGAGCAGCAGCAAAGCTTCTCTCTCTGCTCAGCCACCAAGACACACTCCCAGCAGTGGTGATGGCTGGAACTTTGTGGATCTCTGCGGTCTTTTCCAACCCTGATGACTCTTCTGTACAATTCTACAAAGCACAGAAACCTTCAGCTCTTACCCTCAGCTCTGTGATCTTCTCCTGCTCATTCGACTTCTGCTTCAACACCGCATCCAGCTTCTTCTTCAGTGGCTCCAAGTGGCTCTGGAGTTTGTACTGAGGGAAGGAAACACAACAACAAACCCTGTCAGAGGAGGGGCAATCTCCTCTGTCCTCATTTTGTCCCTAATTTGGTGGCAGAGCTGAAAACGGAACCTCAGAGCCAACTTTCACACCACTTCCCTTCTGCTTTCTCTGAGGAACTGTGCTGGGAAGGTGCTTTTTTGTCAGAAAATGGGTACTCAGACCCTTCCACCTCCTCACAGCAATGTACGGTTTCCCAACCTCCCACGATTCCAACCCAACCAGCCCAGCAAGACGCACCTAGCTCAACCCCAACCTCACTTTCCCTTTAAGCCTCCGCTCTCCCACCACAACCCATCCCCCAAATCCCTCCTCCTTCACTGTAATCCTCCCGCAAGCAATCCTCCCCCAAACCCCATCTTATCCCCCCTGTGACCCTTCCCCAAACCCCACCTTATAATCCTGCACCACCTCCTCCAGGGGCACAACGCTGTGATGCTTGTGACTCCGCGACTCCCTGCACACCACGCAGATCGCTTGCTCATCCACCTCACAGAACAGCTTCAGGGGTTCCTGGTGCTTCTCGCACAGATTCGGACACCCCCGACCTCCCGTTGCCACCAGGATCCCCGGATTCCCCCCAGGACCCCCTGAGGCTGAGGGGCCGGCGGGCGGCGCGAGGCGCTGCGGGTGAGGGTGGAGCTGCCGGATGATCTGCACCATGTTGGCCAACTGAAGGTTGGGTCTGAAATTCCTCTGGAAAAAGGTTTTGCGGCACTGGGGGCAGGTGAAGGTCTGCAGGCGGCGAGGGCGGGCAGGCAGGACGGGGGGCGGAGGGCTCTGAGCTTCGTCCTCCTCCTCCTCCTCTTCCTCCACATCCTCCTCCATCACATCCTCATCGTAATCATCGTCCCCAAAGTAGAGCTCTCCCTGCACCCCTCCGTCCCACAGCTCCTCCTCCACGGGGTCTGAGGATCACAGAATCATCAAGGTTGGAAAAGACCTCGGGAATCATCGAGTCCAACCCCCACCATCCCCACCAGGCCTCTTGTAGCAAGAAGGGACCCAGATCTGGGAACAGGACTGAGGGGAGGCCTCACCAGCACCAGCACAGAGGGACAATCACCTCCCGCTCCCAACAGCTGCTCTATTTCTGACAGAAGCCAGGATGCCATGGGCCTCCTTGGCCTCTTGCAGGCTCACATCCAGCCCCGAATCCATTTCCCTCACACAGCTCTCAGCCACTCTGCCCCAGGTACAGCTGCATGGGGTTGCTGTGACCTCAGTCAGATCCTGCTGAACTCCACTCCACTGCCCTCAGCCCATTGAGCCCAGTCCAGACCCCTCTTTCGGGCCCCCCCCACCTTCAGGCAGATCAACGCATCCCCCCAGCTTGGCATCATCTGCAAACTGACAGAGGGTGCCCCCCATTCCCTCCCCCATCCATAAAGACACCCAACAGGGCAGGCCCAAACCGACCCCCAATACCTTCCCACAGCTCTCCATCCTCCTCCTCCTCGCTCCACATGTCGTCCTCCTCCTCCTCCCCGCCTCCATCCTCCTCCTCCTCCTCCTGCTCCACGTCCAGCTCTTCCTCCCCCAGCTCGTCTTCCTCCTCCTCCTCCAGTTCTTCCTCCTCCTCCTCCTCCAGCGCCGCGGCCCCGCTGCTCTCCTCCAGCTCGGCCTCTCCTCCTCCTCCCCACAGCTGCGCGATGCAAACCCGGCAGAAGTTGTGCCCGCAGCCGATCGACACCGGCTCCACGAAGTAGTCCAGGCAGATGGCGCAGATCGCCTCCTCCTGCAGCGTCTCCACCGGGTTCAGCCGCCCCGACGACGCCCCGTCGTCGCCCACCGCCTCCATGGGGAGGCCCCGAGGCCCTCTTCCTCCTGCCCCGAAGCCTTTCTCCTGCCCCACAGCGAAGCGCTGGGGCCCGCCTCGAGGCCCCGCACCCCCCGCAGGCTCCGCTCCTTCCTCGGGCCTCGCCGCTCCCCTCGCCGCTCCCCCCGGGGGCCGCTCTACCTCCCTCCCTCCCACCGCCGCCGTCGTTCCTCTATGGTACGAACTCCGCCAACCAACGGCAGCACTTCCGCTTTCCGTCCCCTTTGCCGCAAGCCACGCCCCGTTTCCAGTACCACCGGACCGGAACTTCCGTCCTATTTAATGCAAGTCACGCCCCCTCCGCGCAGCACTTGACCGGAAGCGGCCCTCCTGTCGCTAGGCAACGGGGTGGGCGCTCTAGGGGGCGTGACTTCCGACTGCTCCGTCTCCGGGTAGCTCAGTCGGTAGCGCGCGCGGCTCTCAGTCGTATGACCACGGTTCAAGTCCCACTTCGGGAGCATCAATTTTACATTTTCCCTTTATTTTGTCATCCGCCGCGCTCTGTCCTCACCGGAACCGGCGCGGGATCGGTCCGGAGCGACCGCATCTGCGAATCCCGCACCGGAGCCCGGAATCGTTACTTCATGTCTCCATGGGGATAGGCGACTGTCAGCGTGTTTCTGTAGTGTAGTGGTTATCACGTTCGCCTCACACGCGAAAGGTCCCCGGTTCGAAACCGGGCAGAAACACGGCTTTGACTTTTACGCTTTACTCCTCCTTTTTTTTCCTTTTTAATTTTCCCACTTTTAAACGCCGTTTTGCCCATTTTTTCCTGTTTTTCCCCTCTTTTCCCGCTCCCTGCAGCACTGCCGGACAGTTCCCCGCTGTTCCCATAGGGATGCATTCTTTTTCCTAATGCAGGTCTTCCTCGTGGGTTCGCAATTTCCTAGAGCCCGTAATTAGCAGGATAATTAGGAATATAATTAAGCAGAACAATTAGTACTTCTCTCTGTAATCACTATGAAGTAATGCCCATGAAGTACAACTGGCAGCAGCCCGGCTAGCTCAGTCGGTAGAGCATGAGACTCTTAATCTCAGGGTCGTGGGTTCGAGCCCCACGTTGGGCGCTTGAATTTTTGCTCAAATTCCCTGATTCCAAACCCACGTAATTTCGTTTAGTTAAGCAGAGTCGCATCCAACGCAGCAGCGTGCAGTGCACGTTGTATCTCAGTACATTTCTACGTTTCAGCGTATTTCTGTTTTTATTCCAATGTTCGTCTATATTCCATCCCAACAAGGAGACTTCGATGAGTTTTCTTTTGAAGTTCCTTACAATAATTGCATAGGGGGGAGAAATTCCCTTCCCCGCCCTCTTTGCTGCTTGAGTAGAGGATAAAATCTGAGTTTTACTCCGAGTTTTCCCCAGATCCGCCCAGTTTGGCAGTCTTATGCTGGGCATCCACAAGCTGCTCCCGGTCCTACCAGCATCCCCTTACGGGCTGAGATCTCCCAGCCCCACTTGGCTCAGGCTCAGCCTTCGGGGCCGGATTTCCCCTATCAGCGAGGAGATAAGGAGGAGGAAAGGCCTTTTATTCCCTCTGCGGATCGGAACCCAGCAGGAAGCCCATGGCCACGCAGAGCCCCTTGGACAGCCTGCAGAGCGAAGCCTCCTGCTCCATCTGCTTGGGTTACTTCCAGGATCCCGTCTCCATCCCCTGCGGCCACAATTTCTGCCGGGTTTGCATCTCCCGCTGCTGGGAAGGGCTGGAGGGTAATTTCCCCTGTCCACAATGCAGGAAAACGACGTTGCACAAAAATTTCCGCCCCAGCAGAGAGCTGGCAAATATCGCCGGCATCGCCCGGCAGCTGAGCTTGCATTCCTCGACTTGGTGCAAGCAGCACTGCGAGGCTCTCAAGCTCTTCTGCAAAGAGGACCAAGAGCCCATCTGCGCTCAGTGCGACGCGTCCCAGGCTCACCGCTGCCACACTGTGCTCCCTGCCCACCAGGCGGCCCAGGAGTACAAGGTATGGTCCCCAAAAACCCCGAGCCGCCAGCGCAGCGCATCCCTATGGGCGCCCCCACGCGACCCTTTGCTTGGCGCTGCCCCCCATCCTCCCCCTTTGCAATTCGGGACCGACGCCGTCCGCTCTTTGCAGCCTTCCCAGCCTCTCCTTCCTTTGGTGCTTTGCTCTTTGACCGCAGCCTTGCAAAAAAGCGCTCCACTGAGAGCTCTTAAATACAGATACACACCCCAGAGCTGCTGGTTTGGGGTGTTTTTGAGGGAAATCTCACCGTGTGCTTATCTTGCCCTTCCACGCCTCCTTGCACAGCTGCCAGTGCTGATTTTCTGTTGCTCTTTCGCAGCATTTTTCTCTACATTCTTTACATTTCCCTCCCTTTTGCTCCCCCAATTCTCTCTGCAAAATACTTCCAGCTTGCACAGAGCTCCAGAGCTGCACACAAAGCTTCCCTCTGCCCAGCTCTGCACCTTGCAGAGGATTCCAGGCTTTAGCAAATCCTCTCCCATCCGACAGAGTGGGAAAACAGGTTCTCCTCCTGTCTTCTTTTGGCACAGGAAGAAATCCAGGCTCGCCTCCAGGCTTCAAAGGAGGAGAGGGAAAAATACCTGGAAAGCAGAAAGACTGGTGGAAGGACGGGCTTGTATTTGGTGGGTGCAGCAGGGGAGGTTTCTGCCTTCCCCTCCTCCCTGCCCTGTTTGTGTTGATGTATTTTTGGGGGCACTTATGCATTTTTGGCATCGCAGCCGGGCTGGGAACGTGCCAAGCCTGTGTTTATCAGCCGGGGTCACACAGCATCCCCTGCGTTAAGGAGATAACGCTGCAGATCCTCCCAAACTCTGCAAATATCCCCCTTACAGGACTCAGCTCCCACCCCCTCCTTTGGTTTTGCTTTTGGGATAAACTTTCCCGCTGCTCCCCGAATCCCCAGCGAGACGATCTTTGGCTTTTTGGTGTTCAGTTCCCATTGGCACTGGTTGTAAATTCCCATTGGATTTGGTTGGGCATCCCCCAGGACACGGCGTCCTGAGGCCCCAGGGGGATCCTCCTGCCCCCATTCCGTCCCATTGGCTTTCTTTCTCATCCCACCAGGAGAAAACCAAGAAGGAAGGGAAGAGGGTAGTGTGTGAATTCGAGCAGTTGCAGCGATTTCTGAAGGAGAAGGAGCGTTTCCTGCTGGTCCAGCTGGCAGACCTGGACAGAGCCATCGCCAAAGTGCAGGAGGACGCGGTGACCAAGGTGTTGGAGGAGATGTCCCACCTCGACACCCTGATCTGGGAGATGGAGGGCAAATTCCAGCAGCCCGACAGCAAATTCCTGCTGGTGAGAACCCAAAGTGATGGGGGGAAATGGGGGGACGGTGCAAACCCTGAGAGCCCAAACTCAGCCCCGTGGCAGCTCCCCGTGTTGCTGCTGGGGGGATCACGCTGTGGGCAGGGTGGTCTTTGCTGTGCGTTGCAGTGTGAAGGAGGAGCCCTTGGTGCTCCTCCTCTGATCCATCTCTCCTCTCTCCTCCCACCTTTAGGACATCAGGAGGCTCCTGAATAGGTAATGTGGCTCCTTCCCATTTTCACCCCGATTTTTGGATGGCGCCGGGGGGAGGACTTTGAGGCAGGGGAGAAAGGGATTTTGTCCCCAGGCAAACATCCTCATCCCATGGCTTCTCCTATGGGGAATAAAACGAACAACCGGCCAACAAACGCAACGTTCCCCTCATCCCCATCCTTCCCCTCATTGCAGCTGTGAGGTGATGAAGTTCAGCCCCCCGGCAGAGATTTCCCCCACTCTGGAAAGAAGATTGGAGGACTTTCTTCACAAGAACGTCCTGGTGAAATGCACGCTGAGGAAGTGCCAAGGTACCCAGTTGGGTTGGGGTCTCCTCCAGGTTTAGGAAGATCACGGGGGTCTTGCAATAAACCCGGAGCTTTTGCATTGCGAAGCCCCCAGACCCCCATGGTTTCCCTTCCCCATCTCCCAGCCCCTTTTCCTGAAGCATAAACCTGATGTTGTGCTTTTATTTTCCTCTTCAGACAGCCTGATGTTTCAACTGCAGGAGCCAGGTACGTCAGCAGTGGTGGCTATGGGGTGGGAGGGCGGTTTTCCTGGCGTGTGGATGGGAAAAAAGCAAGGCAATCCCAGATGGAAGGGAGGGAATGGGGTCAGGGTCCTCATGCTGGTGGTCCTGCAGAGCCAAAAAACAGATTCAAGGCAAAACCAAAGAGTGTTTGTGCTTCCCCTTCCCCTCCGTGAATGCGAGCTGTCCCTTCCCCACATCTTTGCCCTTCCCTCCTTATGCTGCCCTAAAATTTGTCCTCTCCTCATTCTCCTGCCTCTCTTCTCTCCCCACATGTCTCTACTGGGGGACACTGAGGTTGGTAGCAGCCCCACACACCCCATAGAATCACAAATGTTGGAGAAGACCCTCAAAGGCCACCCAACCCAACCACCAACCCACGTCCAAAAGTGCACGGAGAAAAGGGTGGAAGGAAGAGGAACCTCAGCAGCTCTCCCCAAGCCTAAATCCTATCTCCATTCCCCCTCTTGTCCCACAGCCAACATCACCATGGACCCCACCACCACTCACCCCAACCTCCACCTCTCCGAGGACCGAAAACAAGCCCGGGGTCAACTGATGCCACAGGAGCTCCCCGAGAACCCCGAGAGGTTCAGCTTCGAGCCCTGCGTGTTGGGCTGCCAGGGCTTCACCTCGGGGAGGCACTTCTGGGAGGTGGAGGTGGGACAGGGGGGGGTTTGGGCCCTTGGGGTGGCCCGAGCTTCCATGAAGAGGAAGGGACCCATGAGCTTCAGCCCCAAAGAAGGGGTCTGGGCGCTGGAGGCCTATCACTCCCTCACGTCCCCCCGTGCCAACCTACGTCTGAATGCACTGCCCAGAAGGATTCGGGTCTCCTTGGACTACGAAGGGGGTCGGGTGGCGTTTTTCAGCTCGGATGACGACACTCCCATCTTGGTGTACACCAGGGCTTCGTTCAACGGGGAGAAGGTCCTCCCTTGGTTCAAGATAGGGATGGGGGCTCGCCTGCAAGAAATCACCCAAAATTCCCCTTCGGAGGAGCAGCCCACGAGCGGGCAGCTGATGTCCCATCTGGACTGGGTCGGGTTCAGGTCTCCACTAAAGATCTGTTCTTGAGATGCCCGTTAGTGAAAGGGACGTCGGGTGGGATGCGTGCTGTGCTCGCTTGGAGCATCCTGCCAAGGGGACCGGCTGCTCCACGCCATGTCTGTCCCCATGGGGAGCCCTGGGTTGGTCTGCAGAAACCACCAGAGAGCATCGAAGAGCTGGGAGGAAATGCATACATCTGTCTGTTCTCTATCTGACATCCATGGCGGGGCAGATCCGGGGTGTTCTGCAAAGGGATGCGGCCTTTCGCTGCAAATAGCAATGCCTGGTGTGGGGAGCTGGTCTCTGCCTACGTTCCTGATATTAATCTTAATTAAAAGTCTGTTCTGCGCACTCCTTTCTGCCTCACTACGGGTGCACGGCTCTGGGTTGGCTTTGGGTGCGTGGCTCCGGGTCAGCGTCGGGCCAGCAAAGTGAAGGGGAGCTGCTCAGGGTGAGGACTCACCTGCCCGGATTCCCTCAAAAACCCTGCTTTCTTCTGAGAAAGCACAAAAGAGGAAGAGGCAGCACCGAAACGAACACAGGTTGGTGATTGTAGAACCAAAAAAGAGGAACAAAAAGAGAGTGGGAGGGAGCGGGCGACGTCAGGGCTCAGAATAGCAGATGCGATATGAGTGTGCATCCCACGACGCAGCCCAGCCTCAGCATCCCCAAAGGTCAAACCTACAGCTGGTATTTCAGTACGGCTCTTTGCTGCGTTGGTATTTTTCCTCAGTGCCGTGCATTGCTGCCAAATGCTCCCACCAGGGTCAATTCTCCTCCATAAATCTGCAACGCAGATGTTTCTCCAGCCCGGCTGGTTTTCCAGGCTCTGCAATCAAGTGCTTTTCAGGACACGACGAAACCCATTTGCCCCATCTAAGATGGGAGCCTTGCTTTGGGATGAAAGGCTCTGTGCCCCAGGGGTTGCAGTTGCAGGGAGTTTGCTTCTGCTCCCTCAGCTCCCACAAGTGCCATCCCAATGGGAAGGGTTTGCTGGAAGTGGGTTTCGCCCCTGCAAACCTGCCCGAGTGAATGGCAGTCGTCTCCTTCAGTTGGGTCTCAGTGGTTGCCATGCAAAAATTAAATATATACGTAACGCATGGATTTATTCTGTTTCTGTACTTAGCCGTGGGGCTCAGCACAAGGGCAGCGGGGTGGAAATGGCTGGAAATGTTTCCTCGAGAGCTCAGAGCCAGGAGTGTGGGCGCTCTGAGTCGGTGTTGGGCTGCGAGAGAAGAGGCTGAGCCCCACAGATCGACCCTTGTGCTCCTCCTCATCCCCACAAGGATCTGCCTGCGCGTTTCCTCCCCTATTTCCTTATGGTTTCCCCACGTAACCCCACTCCCGACGGCTTTATCCTAAAAGGAAGCTGACAGAACTGCAAGGCGACGTCGCTCAGCATCTCCCCAGGACAAGAAACTGGGAAAGAGACAGAGGAGAAACCCAGAGCTCCCAGCCCAGGGTGCCACCAGGAGCAGACCTGCGGGCTCAACCCATCCATCCCGCAGCTCTACCCCGGAATGGGAAGGAACAGGAAGGGAAAACCCCAAACCCCATCAAAGGGCTGAAAACAACAGGTTCTGTAGGTTCACCAGGGAAGAAATCCAGAGGGATGTTAGGCTCCCCAAAGGAGGAGAGAGAAGGGCTGTGAGGAAGAAGAGCGCCCTGGAGTGCCCAAACCTGGAGGATCTGGTAGGTGTCAGCGCTGTGTCGTCCATAGCCTCATTTCTCCCCATCCTTTTTGCCTCCTGTGCCTTTAGGACCCTCGGATTTCTGCCCCGAATTCATGCCCATCTGTTTATGACTTTTTGAGTTTCGTTTCTTCCCCTCCCCTGCCCCCCAAATTCAACACAATTCAGTAAGGGTTCCAGCTCACCACTGAGCTCCTCCGGTGGGTGATGCCCACCCATGAGCCCCCCATGCTATTTCCAGCCCCACTGCTCTTTATGTTCCACTGCTTGCATCAGAAGGAAAGCTGGGCCCCAGCAGGGAGCGCTCAGCAGGAAAACATGGAGCTCTTCTTGCTCTGGGCAGCTGGAAGACCTGAAAAATGAGATCGAGAAGAGGCAGAAAAACACCGCCAAGCTCTCGGAGGAGATTTCCCAGCAGGAAACGAAACCACAGGGAGAGAAGAGTCAGCATTCGGTGAGCGAATTCCTCCAGGGAAGCTCTTTTCGAGGGGAAAAATCCTTCAGGGATGTCCTCCCCACCCCGGGCTGGTGGCTCCGTCAGGTGTTTTCCTCCTATTTTACACTGTTCCATCAGCCCGAAGCCCCCACTGCAATGAGGAGATGGGGGGTCTGCAGCCTCCTCTTCCTCCCACCGTTTTCTCCTTGCCTCCCATTATTTTTCGTGCAGAAGATCCTCATGGGGGTCAGTTTTAAAAGGGGAAAAACCACGGCTGGGTTGGGAGATGGGGTGGATCTGCAGGATCCATTGCGGCGCATGGGTGCTCCTGACTGTTCACCTTCCTCACGGAGGAAGAGCAGAGAGACCCATCTCTGCTCAAACAGTTATTTTATGACTTAAGGACAAAATGGGGCACAGCTTGGAAGACCCCAGAGGTCCATCCTGACTCAAAAGCTCCATTTTCCACACTTTAAAGGCAAAACGTGTCGTGCGCTGACCTGAGTTCCCTCTCCCCTTCCTCTCTTCTGTCCCCAGGATGTGAAAAGCCCCACCACCAGGTACGTGGCCCCGTTGAAAAGCTGCTCTGTGAGCTTTGCATCGAGCGGTGGTGACCATAGGGAAGGAAGCTCATCAGCGAACGCTCCTCTGCTCCAGGGGAACTGTGAGATCTGGGGGGTATTTGGGGTATTTTGGCCTCTGCGTGCTGCTTCCTGCTTTTACCTCCTTGGTGATTCCAGGGATGTAATGATCAGAGGGGCCTCAATCTCAAAACTGAGCCTCCACGCGGCAAAGGCTCGTTTTAATTCCCTGCAGTATCTCCAAGCTTTTCTCTCGCCCGTTCCACCCAAGCAGGTCTCCAAGAAACAGTAATTAATGAGGTCGTTATTTCACGAAGAAAAGCTCAGCCTTTGCCCTGGCGAGGTTTGGGTTGCCAAGGAGGGAAGCATCTCCATTCCCTGGTCCTTCATGACATCAGATTTCCTGCATGGCCCTCTGTGATGGAACCACCCTGAATAAATGCACCGATTTTCCATGTATTATTTCCATTTCCCACCTTCCCCCAGGTGCGGAAAGGTGACCTTCCAGCTGCCAGCGGGGCCAGAAGAGAGGCTGAGCCATTTCTCATGGAGGAACGGAGCTCTGAAGGAACACCTCAAGAAGCTTCAAGGTACTCAGCAAGGTTTCAGGTGGGAAACGGGGATATTTTGGTGAAAACCAGCTCGTTTTGGACACAGCAGAGCAATGCAGAGAGATGGAGGAGCAGCAGGTTACCCCCAGTCGGGACAAATGAGTGGTTGAGCCCCGGAGGACTCAATGCCTCGTTTGCCACTCTCTTAATTACACGTTTTGCTGTGATTCTTAGAAGTGCTCACGGGTGAAGCTCTCTGGCTTTGCTCCCCTCCAGCTTTGCCTTTCCTAAAAGTGCTTTTTTGCCCAGCATGGGAACCCAAAGCCGCGTTACCTGTTGGATGGAGACGCGCCTGGACCCACGGGCTGAACCCAAACGGGCAGAAATGGAGGCTGAGGGAGGAACGCACAAAATCAGGGCAACCAAACGAGTTTTCCTCACCCTGCAGGCCGAGCCTGGCTGCAATTTGGGATGATGGCCCCAGGGCAGATCCCTCGCCTTGATGATTTCCCATCAGCAAATGGGGCGGGCGGGTTGACCTCAGTCATTATCCCTGCCTTCAGATTTCAGCTCTTTTTTTTGGGGGGGGGGGGTTGGCTGAACAGGTCTGGGTTGGCCTAGGAGATAAAGCACTGCAGGCTGTGCTGGGTAATATCCCACAGATCCCTTTCCTTCCATTGTTTCTCCCCCCACCGTTTCTTTTGGAGATGGAAGTCTGCAGAAACACCTTTCATTTCTGGTCATTTTGGGGGCTCAAAACACTCTTTTATTGTCATATGGCACGTGGGAGGGGTCTCCACCTTTCGTCTTTTTACTTCTTTCTTTGGGGTTTTTTACCCTCCTGATGCCAACCCACGGCCCCACAGAACGGTTGAGGCTGGGAGGGACGGTCCCGTCCTACAACCCTCCTCCAGTGGGGCCAGCTGGAGCACATGCAACCCATTTAGTGCCAGCCCTGTCCAAAGATCCAAACCTTGCTTTAGATCCAAACCTCTCCCCATCCTCGTGGCTTCAGCACGGAGGCCCCCCAAACCTCCCCCTCCTCTTACACCCCACAGCCAGCATCACCCTGGACCCCGACACCGCTCACCCTGACCTCGTCCTCTCCGAAGACAGAAAGAGTGTGAAACGTGGGGCAGGACAGCAGGACCTCCCCGATAACCCCGAAAGATTCGCCTACTGGCCCTTTGTTTTGGGCCACCAAAGCTTCTCCTCCGGCCGTCACTGCTGGGAGGTGGAAGTGGGGGACGAAGGGGACTGGGCCATCGGCGTGGCTCGAGAATCCATCCCACGAAAAGGTCAACTGAGCCTCTGTCCCAAAGGGGGGATTTGGGGGGTGGAGAAATGGGGGGGACAGATCCGGGCTCTCACCACCCACAAGGTGACCCTGTTAGCACTGCGCTGGGTGCCCAGGAGGGTCAGCATCCACTTGGATTACGCCGGAGGGACGGTGGCGTTTTTTGACGCCGACGAAGGGGGGCTCATCTTTGTTTTTTCCCATGCGTCTTTCGCTGGGGAGGGGGTCCGTCCGTGGCTGTGGGTGGTGGGGGTCAGGTCCCAGCTCAGGCTGTGCCCCTGAGACACGGACGAGGGTCACCCCACATCCTACAGCCTCAGGGGACGGCCCCCTCCCTGCCCATCCCATGGGGAGAAGATGAGATGAGGAGCTGGGTTTTTGTGCATCCTTCATCCCTATGAACCCACCGCCGTGGCATCGCACCAGTATGACACTGACTGACTTGATATCACCAAGAAGTGCTGAGCAAGAGAAAATTGGGGCAACAGAAGGGAAAAAGTGCTGCGCTGGGTGATTAGAATGTAGGAAAGAGTGGTCAGAAGGGAAAATCCCACCCAGCAGAGCGGCAGGAAGGCGGATTTCCCCAGGGTTTGCCTGATCAGGTACTGCTGTCCCCGACCTGAGATGGTCAGCTTCAAATCAAGTGGTCCACCTTCCTGAAGATTTGGTATTTGAAGCCTCAGAGTGTACAATGACTCTTAATAAAGTGCTTGATTTTCCCCTGTGTGTCTCTCTGCCAATAAACAGCAGAATACAGTAGACAGCTTTCAGGGATGACCCACTTGAATGGATCTTTCTGGGTTCCAACATGGCCTATGTTGTGCAGGCACCAGGAATGGGATTTACTCATCCCAAACCTTTGGGATTTGGGCCAACAAACCCTTCAGATTTATTTCCCACATCCTCAGGGTCGTTCTGAACATCTGGTGGATCAGAAAGGTTAAAGATTTCTGTCTCTCCCCATCTGGTTGCACCTCTATGCGTAAGAGAACCCGTTGGTCTCCCCTTAATCCCCATGAACCATCCAGGAGCAGTGAATAAACAGGCATGGAAGAACTTTATGACATACAAACCTTTTTATTTCATCTAAAACCGTAAGATTGGAGAATCCGAGTGATGCAAGATGGGGTAAAAGGGTTTCTGTTTGCTAACAAAACCCCAAAACTGGCACTGGTAATTCTGAACCCTGACCTGAAGGTGCTTAAGCTTTTGGGGTGGCTGGAAATGGGAAGAGAAGGCAGAAAATCCAACGAGGAATTCAATAGGAGCCCCCCAAAGCGCTGGGATAGGGATGTTGGGGTCGTAATGTTGGTGTTTTGGGTATGGGGGAGCTTCAGGGACACAGTGTGATCTGAGAGCCCTCGCCCCACACCAGGAACCAGGGCTGGATGCTCTCCCCTTTGAATGAGGCCGATGGGAAAATGAAGATCAGAGCCCTCTTATCAGCATCAAAAAATGCCACCTGGCCCCTCTCGTAGTCCAGGGTGACCCGAACTCTTTTGGGAACCTGGATTTGGGGCAACGTCATGCGCTCAAAGGAGGACAGAGCCCAAAACTGTCCCTCACAGAAACCCATAGACCAGAGCTCAACCTCAGGGCTCGCACCGCTCTCTTCCCTCCTCTTTAGGGACTCTTTGGCCACACCAACAGCCCAGGAGCCTTCGGGTGCCACTTCCACCTCCCAGCAGCATCTCCCCGACGTGATGCCCTCACGGCCCAGCACGAAGGGATCGGTCCCAAATTCCTCCTTGGCTGCATCCCGTTGGGCATCTTCCCACCTCACGCTGCTCCCATCCGCCGACACGGAGAGCTGGGGGTGAGCTGTGGATGGATCCAGGGTCACACTCACTGCCAAAGGAAACCAGAGCGTGTCCCATGACCTCAGGGTTGCTGGGATGAGCAGGGAGATCCGCTGGAGTTCACCCCATCCCTTGGGAAGCTCTGCTCTCTTTAGGATGCTCTTCCTTCCTTGGGACCCTCTTTGGGACCCTCTTTGGGACCCTCTTTGGGCAAAGGCTTCCCTGACTCCTTGAGATGTTTTCCCCCTCTTTTCTATTGCTCTGTTCAGACAGAAGTATCTTCCCCAGACCTTCCCCCAGAACACAGCCCATCCCATGCTGCTCTCATCCTTCCTTTGGGTCCTCTCAATCCCTCCTGCTCCAGAAGATGGACTTACTCTTTTCAGGCAGCTCAAACATCAGGATTTCTACAAGAAAGGGGAGAAGAAAAGAAATGTCTGATTTAACATCATAATCTCAGTGTTTTTTGCCCAGAATCTCTTATTTTGCCCAGAAATTCTTTTCTCTTCAAGAAGTCCATTATGGTTCTGATTCCAACAAGCACAACTGATGCTCCCCACTCCAGCCTATGCTCAATACCTTTGAAGTTCTTCAGAATCTCCTCTAATGCATTATTTTTCTCCCTGAAGTGACTGAGTTTCCTTTCCAGGTCTGGAAGAAGCAACACGGGCTGCTGGAAGTTCTCCTTTCCCAACCTGGAGGAAGAGGAAAGAAGGAGGCTGCCAGCCTGGAGCCATTCCCACTTCATGGCATCTCTCCCTCCCCTCCATCCCATTTGCTTCCATTGAACGAGATGGGCTCAGGAAGCTCCCTTCATACCTGCTCAGGGTGCTCCTGATGTCCTGGAAAGGAGAAAAGGGGAAAAGAAACTCAGTGAACAGATTTTGGCAGTGAAATCCCCACTGAAAACCCAACAGCTTTCTGTCGGCCATCACCCACAGCCATAAAACACCGTGATGCCAACCGTGGCATTCTCCACCTCCTCACCTGCAGAAACTGGCTTGCTGGCTGCTGGCACTTCTCCTCCGTCTCCTGGATGATGGCATCCAGCTGGGAGATCTCCTTTGTCAGGATGGTGACGTTCTCTTCCTGCGTTTTCTCCACGTCCCTCTCCGTGTTTTCCAGCTGGGCCAGCAGGTGACGTTCCTGCTCCTCCAGGAAGAGCCGCAGCCCTTCAAATACACCCAAAACCTTCTGCTGTTCGGTGCTGGTTTTCTCCTGCAAGGACAAGGGGTCATGGGAGGAGCCAGCAAGTCCTGCACCCCCAGGAAGAGGCAGCACCCGATTATCCCAGTGTATTCCACAGCAGGGATGTCCCGATGGATTGCAATGCACCCCCGAGCCAACGGTGCTTCATTGCTGTGGGATTTTGCTTTGCATCCCCCCGTTGAGTCTCTCCCCAATGAAGTTTTGCTTTGCATCCCCCAGCTGCGTCCCTTCCCAGTCAGGTTTTGCTTTCCATCCCTTGACCCTAAAGCCCTACCCCTAAAGCCAAAGGAACCCACCCAGACCCCCGTCCTGCTCATAACAGTTAAACAGACGCTCACCAAATACTCCCAATTTCTCCTCATCTCAGCCTCTCGGAACCCCAGGAGTTTGTCTCTGCCTTCCTTCAGCGCTTGCAGACGGGATTGGATTTGTTCCTGGGGGAAGAAAATGCAATTCCAGGAGCTGGGATATCGCAGAGCGCCCAAAACGCATTTATTTGGGAGGGGGTCTGCGTGGTGGTCAGCACCAGGGCTTCCCCTTCAGCCTCTTGGTCCAGGAGCTCAGGACAAGGGAATGGTTTAAACGGTGATCAATGCCACAAAGCCTTTGGATCTGACTCATTGAAAGCACCCTTATTATTGCTGTGTCTTTTACCTTTAGCCATCAGGAATGCACGGATGAGCCAGATCGAGTTCTGCAATGGGGAGGAGGGGCTGAAGCCCTCGGCCCTTTGGCTTGCAGAAACCTTCAGGTCAGGACCCAGCGTGGGAAGTGAAGCAGCAGAAGCATCATAGTGAAACAGCCTGCTTTGCTTCGGGGGTTCTGAGCACCCAGAGAAGGGGGACGGCGCTTCTGCCCCCCATTTACAGCCCTGGGTGTGGAGTGGGACGCACTGCAGCCCCATAGCGAAGTGCCACGGAGGGAGCATCGCGGTGAGATGGGAAAAAACGCCATCAAAAAATAATACCCCAGCCAACAAATGAAGCCTTTACCTTGTATTCCTGGACAGCATCCTGCACAGGAAGCATCACATGAGCCCGGTGCAGCCGCGACTCGCGGCAGATGAGGCAGATGAAAGCTTCATCGTCTTTGCAATAAATGCTCAGAGGTTCCCGGTGCTTTTTGCATCCTTCCTGCCCCGCAGCGTCCCTGTGAGCTGCCTGCAGGCTCAGCCTCCTGGCGATCTCCAGCATCCTCGCCAGCTCCCTGTTGGGACATAAAATCCTCTCCTCCGCCGTCTCCTTGCATTGCGGGCAGCAGAAATCCCCCGTGCACCATTCCCAGCACCGAGCGATGCAGTCCCTGCAGAAATTGTGGCCGCAGTGGATGGAGACGGGATCTCGGAAATATTCCAGGCAAATGGGGCAGGAGGCTTCGCTGGGGAGGTGGGACGTGGGGTTGGGTGCAGCCATGGGGCCCCGCGGAGCACTGAGAGTTTCATTTTCTTTGTGGAAGGCGTTTCCCTTCCCACCGCCCCCCCCTCCCCCGAGGGTTTGGGGTGGGCAGAGCCAGGGCTGAGCTCGGGGTGGGGGAGAGGTGGCGATGGCTCGATGGCTGCATCCCATAGAAGTGTGCCCTAAACACGGGTTAGTAGGGGGGGAAGAACGGGGGGTGAGAACAAAAGGGATTTGGGGAGGGGGCTTGGGGTAAGGGTCCAGGATGCGTATTGCATCCCCCATAGAGGTCTCTGCGCCCTACAGATCAGCACCAAAACACCTGGTCCCTATGGCACGGCAGGGGGGGGAAGAAAGGGGACAGAACCCACAGCACGGATGGGAGCAAAGGGGATTTGAGGAGGGGTCTGAGCTGGGATGGGGGACAACTGCCGACGGTCCGAGCCTCGCTGGTTGCATCCCCTATAAAGAGGCACTCGTGCCCTGAGCATCGCAGCTCTGGTACCCAAAACATCCACGCCTTGAAGCAATTAAGCAGAAACCCATTTAAAAAATCCGCCTTAATTAGTCACGTTCTTGCTCTTCTTGCAGGAAGGGGTTGAGCAAACGCCTCTGCCCCACAGCAGAGCCTCCTGCCCCCCCCCGAGCCCACGCTTTGTCACTGCACCATCGGGTGCTGCTCGCTGTGAGCTCGGGGCTCGTTTGCAGGAGGATGCCAATTGTTTTTAATGGTGCCCCACCTCCGTTTACAGCAATATAGGAATAATAATAATAATAATAATAATAATAATAATAATAATAATAATAAAGCACCAAAATTTCTGAACTGGGCTCACTCAAAGCCAGCTTAAGCTTTAAGTTTTAGGGCTGATGTTACAAGAAATGGTTCCCTTCTCTGTGGCTTCTTACCGTTTCACATCGGTTGGATGTGGCGATGGATGCTTCGCCCACTCCTCAGTCTCTCCCTTTGGGAAGGTATTCCCTCAACCACATTTTCTCTCCATCACATTTTCCTGCAGGCATATATGGGCTGCATATATGGGCAAATAAATGGGCTCAGGCAGCCCCCAGAAACCCCAGTTTCCTCCACACTGCTCCAAATCTCCACCGAATTCCCCCCAAATGCCCCTAGGAGGGCAGTGGGATCGGGAAGCCAGGCCACGGGGTGGGATCAGAAAAGCCATGGCCACGCACGGATGCCCCTCCAAGAGGCCCCAAACCTTTCAGCACTGGACAAAAAGAGATTCCCATGGCCACGGGGCGGGTGTGGGGTGCAGGTGGGAGCATTGAGGCCCTTTGGGGCAAAGCAAAGCAAAGCAAAGCAAAGCAAAGCAAAGCAAAGCAGTGTCGTTGGGTTTGGAGGACATCAACGTCCCACTGGTTTCGTTCTGAGTGTCCTGCACCCAAAAGCTGCGAGCTGCTGAGGGTCGCCACGCACGGATAACAGCAGATGTGTTGCTTAGGGGTGCTCTCAGGAGATGCTTTGTCCCCCTGCAAGCATGCACCGCTTGCTTTGCATGCAGGATGCAACCTTTGCACGCGCTGCAGGGCGGTGGGCTGTGGGATGGAGCAAATTGAGGGGTTCTCATTCAGTGGGGTGAGGAATTACGCTCCAGGACAGCTTGTGGTATTTTTAAAACCATTTTCAGTATTTCTGAAGCCACATTTTGGGGGAGAAACGGTGGGTTTTGGGGCTGGGCGCAGAGGGGGGCTTTGCAGAGTGAGCAGAGCAAAAGCTTTTGGCAACAGGATGCGATTAAAGATAAGCTGTAATTGGCTGCTGCTGCTGGGCTCAGCGCTGAGCCGTGAAAAACAAAATCAGAAAGCTGATTAAAAGCAGAATTGAAAGTAGAGCTGCGGGGTGAGCGCAGAAACAGGAGCAACGAATGGAAAAGAAGTGAGGAAACAAGGGGAGGTTTTGGTGCTGAGAGCGGGGGGGCTGGTCAAGCTGCATTGCTAATTAATTAGTGCTATAAAGGTGCCTTTATTAACGAGCAGTGCAGGCAGATTGCCGGGGGCTGAGCCCCATAGGGAAGAGTGGGGTTGGGGTCATCCATCCGTTTCCCCTGGTGTTTGATTTAGGGGGTGCCCTGCAGAGGTCTGCAGCTCTTAACGAGGCAGGAAGTAATTAAGGCGGTTTTATTTTCACTGCTCCCTTTCACCTTCTCCTCAGCACCTGCAGGAAGGGCAACGGACCGAGCAGAAAACGAAAGCTGCTCTGTCATTTATCGCTGTCACCACTATGGATGAAGATAACCCAGCTGAGAGCTTCCAGGACGAGGCTTCCTGCTCCCTCTGCTTGGGCTTCTTCCAAGATCCCGTCTCCATCCACTGCGGGCACAACTTCTGCAGGGCCTGCATCACACGCTGCTGGGAGGAAGAGGAGCAAACCTTCCCCTGCCCTCGCTGCAAGGCGACGGCCACGCAGCCAAACCTGCGGCCCAACCGCGAGCTGGCCAAGATCATCGAGATTGCCAAAAGGCTGAGCCTGAGGGCCCCCGGCGCTGGGGAGAGGCTCTGCGAGAGGCACCGCGAGGTCCTGAAGCTGTTCTGCGAGGAGGACCAGGCTCCCATCTGCCTGGTGTGCAGGGAGTCCCAGGCGCACCGCCTGCACGCCGCTGTCCCCATCGAGGAGGCGGTGGAGGAGCAGAAGGTACGGAGGGTCATGGAGGGGCCTTGGGGGGCTGCTTTGCTTGGAGAGCTTTGGCTTTCCAACTTCTTTCCACGTGTTTTGGTTGCAGGATGGCCAGTCTTCCCTTTGTTGGCTCTCTGTTCTCTTCCAATGTTGGTCATCCCAACGCTGCCCCCATCGAAGAGATGGTGGAGGGCACCAAGGAGGAGGAGGAGGAGGGTGAAGGATGGCTCTGATGTGTGGCATTCCCCACTGTATTTGAGTTTCCATCCTCCTTCAATGTGTTTTGTGGGCTGGAGGATGGCCATTCTCCACTTCAGGGCTCTCCATTTTCTTCCATCGTTGTTCATCCCGATGTTCTTCAAGGTCTCATTCCCAGACCGTTGTAGAGATCCTGAAAATCATCCCAGGATTGAAACGCTGGATTGAAACGCACTGGAAAAATGTTTTTTTCTCCATCCAGGAGAAAATCCAGGCTCACGTGCAGATCCTGAAGGAAAAGAAGGAGAAACTGCAGGGGCTGAAAGAGGCTGAGGAAGGGAAAAGCCTGGAATTCCTCGTAAGTGCAGCCTTCCCTTCCCTTCAGTCATCCCTTCATCTCACACCCTGCTGGCCAAAGGTCTGCAGCATTTTGGGTACAAAGATCACAGCCCTGGGAAATGCCCGGGCTAGAAATAGCAAAAAGAAAGAGCGTTACTCATTGCTCTGCAATGGAATTTATGGCTGCTCTGCACACAAAGCCATCCCGATGAATCAGCTCCGCCGCAGCGCTTCTACACCCCTGCACTGCATTTCCCTGCAGGAGAAGGTCCAGCAGGAGAGGCAGAAGGTGGCGTTGGACGTCAAGGAGCTGCAGCGGTTCGTGGAGCAACAGGAGCGTCTCCTGTTGGGGCGGCTGGAAAAGCTGGACCAGGAAATCGTGAGGAGGAAAGAGGAGAACCTGGCCAAGATCCTGGAGGAGATCTCCTCCATCAGTGAGCAGATCCGCGAGCTGGAGGAGAAATGCCAGCAGCCACCGTGTGAATTCCTACAGGTTCCCATCACCGTTAGCTTCGAAACGCTTTTAATTCAAGCACAGTTGATTCACATCCCTGTTTTAGATGGGCACGGGGTTCGTCCATCCAACCGTGCCTCTGCATCCAACAAAATGGCATGCCTAAAGATTGCATCCCTTCACACACAGCGTGGTCATCCAAACCTCTGAGCTTTCCTGTAGGGAATCCTGGTTTGGAACACAGAACATGCCGTGTGGGTGTAGGTGTGGGGCTTGGGGTCATGGTTTGGTGGCAGTGGGGGTGACGGGTTGGGGTTGGAGTCCTTGGATGGCCTCGAAGCCTTCCCCATCCTCAGGGATTCTGTGAGTGGGGTGGGTTGACCTGATGACCTCGGTGGTCTTTTCCCAACCTTAACGACTCTGTGATTGGCACTAATTACACATACAGAAGGAGAAGGGTCGTGAAAGTGGGTCATGATGTTGGGTTGACGTCGCTCTCGCCCTGATGCTCTTCTCCCTTCTTCCCCTTACAGGACAGCAGGAACATCTTGAGCAGGTTTGTGGTTCCTTCCGTGCGTCTCTATGAGTGTAATTTGTTCCTATGGCTGTGATGCTCAGCAGTGAAATCCCACTCCCATATTACCCCCTTTTCAGACCTACAGGATAAAAGCTCCAAAAGGTGCCCTGGGCCATACAAAATCACAACCCTACTCAAACATCTAATGAAATTAACCCGATAATTAAGCACCCAGGAGTGCATCCAGCCAGAAAGGGAAATGGATTGGAATCTGCACCCCCATAGCAGACCCTGATGTGAATGGTGGTGGGTGAAGGAGGTGGGTTATTGGAAAAACCCAAACCGGCGAGGAAAATAGGAAATGTTGTGCATTCCTTCCAGGCTGGAGAATGAGAAATCCCAGAAGGTGACAGAGATACTGCCTGCAGCAGGAGGGAACCCAACCAGCCCTGCTCAGAAAAACACCTCCCTCAAGGAGACATTGATGCAGTTTCGAGGTAGGGGGGAGAAACAAATGGAATATTTGGTCAGCTGGGTTTTCAAGCATGTTTTCATGGGTGGTACGAACTCCATTGAGATCCTCTTTGGCGTTGGAAAAAATTGGGTTAATTCTACATGTCTGTAGGCAACAAAATGGATCAAAGGATCAAAAAATAAAGGATCTTAAGGAATAGTGGGGGATGGAATGCAGATCAGACGTTCCCCAGAGGTCCCTTCCGACCTCGTGGTGACTACAAAACTCCTCTTCCTCAAGCCTTGTAGGAATGAAACCATTCCTGCATCACTCCAGTACCCTGAATTAGGAGCTGGAATGTCCTGGGGTGGGGAGAATGGGGAAATGATGGCTCTGAGGTGAAGGGAAAGCAGGGAAATTGCAGCCTTAAGCAATCTGGGATCAAGCCGTGCTTCCAACTCTCATCTCTCCCGCCCTCAGAAAGTCTGACGTTGGATCCCGACACGGCGCATCCCCGGCTGCTCCTGTCCGAAGACCAGAAATGCGTGCGATGGGAAGAAGCCCGGCACCCCACCCCTGACAACCCCAAACGCTTTGATTCGTCCCGCTGCGTCCTGGGCTGCCGAGGCTTCAACGCCGGGCGGCACTACTGGGAGGTGGAGGTGGGAGATGGGGAGGCGTGGGCCGTCGGAGTGGCCAAGGAGTCGGTGGGGAGGAAGGGGAGGATCAGCGTCAAACCCGAGGCGGGGATCTGGGCGGTGGGGCAATGCGGGGCGCAGTACCAGGCTCTCACGTCGCCCGCCAGCCCCATCGCGCTGCTCTCTGCCCCCAGGGTGATTGGGATTTATCTGGATTACGAGGCCGGGCGAGTGGCGTTTTTCGACGCCAACAACGAGGTGCCCATTTTTGCCTACCCTCCCACTTCTTTTGGAGGGGAGAGGCTCCTTCCATTGCTCTGCCTGGGGAGGGGCTGCCGCTTCAC